CCCTTCCACCACAATGGACTTACCAGCTGCAGGCTGCTGGGCTCTGTGCTGTGGCTGTATGCAGGCATGGACATTTATTGGTCAAATTATTGGCCACTTCAGGCCAATTTCCGATCCAGCCAATTTTCTTTATATTGGTACCGATCCAACATCAGACCAATGTATCAGTGCACCTCTAGTAACCACCAATAAATGTCAATTTAATCTCATACCCACAGATGAATGAAAAAATATTTCCATCGTTAATAGTCAATATTTAGAGAAAGGCAACGTAAGAAAAATGATGGTTGATGGAGAGCCATGCTGACTGTAGTTTGGATTGCAACTCCCAGAAACTCCAGGGGACTGGGAACAAAGAGGCTAGGGACAGAAATTACACATACACTGGTTTAAATGGTAAGAAACTGGTTTAAACCTGTAACAGAACAGAAGCTCAGTACACATAAATGAGTTTCAAAATGACTGAAACTGGTTTAAGATAAACCTGGTGGAATGTACTATCAGACTTAACTGATTTAGGTCAAACTGGTTTATGCAACTTCTGTCCCAGACCCCTTCCTGGTTCAAGTTAAATCAGAGTCCCCCAGCATTTTGCAGCCCTGGGCTAGGCTGTGCTGTCTGCTCCAGAGAGCAGGGCTGGCCCTGTTCCTCTGCTCCCTAGCTGAAGCAGTGAGGGCTGGCTCACTGGCCCACCCTTAGGCAAACCCCTGCTTGGGCCTGGGGCCAGAGAGGTAGGGTTAAACTTCCTTTCCCCCATGGAGCTGCCCTGCCCTGTTTACTTAGTGCTGGCTGTGACTGTGGACTACAAATCCCAGAGGCACCTGAAAGCAGGAAGAGGAAATGATGAGCAAACATGAAGAATCCTGCTGCTGTCAGTCTGGACTGCAAATCCCAGAGACCTCAGAGACAGCAGGAAGAGGAAGCGAACACACAGCCCCTGCTGGCTATATGCCAGAGAACCATGCTCTAATGCCCCCCAGCTTTTGGCTTGAGCCACTGCAGCTATGTGGCTGCATTTCCTGAATCAAAAGTAAATGTCTATTCATTTGCTTATTGGTTCAATCTTTGCAGCTCAGACTAACCTGCAAAGACTGAATCAGTTCAGCCTTGGGCTTCTTGACTGTCTGTACTTAACCAGAGAGAGGAAGTGACAAAGCTGCTGAGGGAGCTATGGGTGAGTGGAGTTGGGACTGATTGCATCTCTGCTGCTCAGCTGGCTACAGTCCTACAGTAGTTACATTTGTCATTAATAAGCTTTTTTGCCCCCCATACCTCTAGTTTCTTGCCACCCTGAAAATTTAAGTGGATAATAATCTAAAGAAATACTTTAAAATAAACATTGATATCCATCAAAAATATTTAAAAATAAACATCAAATTCTGCCAAGCCTACTCATACCTGAATCACCAGCCAGGCTAGTTTATTCAATGGTCAGTTGGTTCTACTGATGAGTATTCCTCACCCCCAGTCCCAAATGTCTAGCTTAATTTCTTCCCCTCCTCCATATTAGGCCACTGCTGTTACTTATCCTCCCCTCTGAACAGAGTAATCCCTTCTTTTCTTTTGTATTACTACCCTAAAGATATTTACAGGGCGGTGATTATATCCCCATTGACCTGTTTTTCAGACTATATACATCTGGATCCATCAGTCCTTAGAGATGGGAAATCAAATACAAACATAGCCTGTGTGGATATAAGGGCTTATCTGTGTGCCTATATTATAGCTTTTATGAACCCTGTCTCTATTTAATATTTTAATGTTCAGCATTCCTATGAGATGCAAAGAGAACAACTACAAAAATCTCTATTAGCTTGTAAAACATCCATCCCTCACACCAGCTTTATTTTTATTTATTTTTCCCTCAGAGGACGATGAAGAAAAATATGGGGAAATACCAACTAAATTCTTGCAGGCTGTACTGTAGGGAAGCTCAAAGCATTGGGTGCTTTGATGGCCTGTGTTTTTTACAGAAACAGAATGCAGATCCCTGTCACACTTTGTACCTAATGAACTCAAAGTGCTAAAATACTAAACCTTGCTCTGCATCTGTGATGGAGGAATTATTCTCATGTTGTGAAGCACTAAACTGAGATAGAGGGGAAGCTGAATGACTTGCCAAACGTCTCCCACAACATATCAGCGACAAAGCAAGCAAGAGACAGCATATTGCAAGAACTGTAGTTCAGCTAGGCCACCAGATAAGGCTCCCATGAAACCACAACACTATCTTTCTTTTTAACCGCATAAACGTTCAGCAATAATCACAAGACTTATCTCCATATATTTTCCATTCTAAAAAATAAAGTATCTGGCTATGTCTGTCAGGCATATGTTAGAGGTAGGTAGTTGCGTATGAAACAGTTAAAATGTTCAGCAGTTAGGGTGAGTATTTTTGATTAGCTTGTTAACAAGCCATTAGGATGAATGGAAATTCACTCTTCTTTCTGAGGCTGTTCCCCCTCTCTCCCCTCAGGGTAACAAACCCTAAGGGATAACAGCATGTCTGTTTATATTTTCAGTGCTATAGTCACAGCCATATGACCTCTTTGTCCATGAAATGTAGATGATGGAGACTACAGTCTTCAGGAAATCTGGTAGAAGACCTTACATCCTCAGAAATCACTAGTTTTCTGTGCCCTGAAAAGTGTCTATTGTCTAAGATAATGTGCTAAATGCCAGTGGTGTAGTAACTATACAGAAAAGAATAGCCATTATGTGTCCCACAATTACACATACACAATTATTGGCCTACATTTAAGACAGGGAACTGAGATCAGAATCCTATTGTTAGCACATAGTTCCTCTGAACATTGTCACAGCTATATTGATATTCTCTTGGGTACCAGAAACAGGCAAAGAAGTAACAGGGCTTATGGGGAACGGCTGAAATTCTAACAATGTAATTCATTCCATTAAACATTGCTGCGCACATACTTGCTGCTCACTCTTGTGTTTTCTCCCATAACTGACTGTGCAACCCTGTTGTCTTTAGATTATGACCTTTATAACCTCTGTCCATGGGGTAATGCAGGGCTGACAGACGAGCTCTGTGATTGGATCATGGGCTCTGTTCTTGCAATGATTTACACATGTGTTTGAGAGCGTATGTGATAGCGTAAGCTCTTTGTTCTGCTTGTACAGTGCCTAGTTCAACAGGGCTCTTAGCTACTGTTGCAGAACAAATAGATAAGAGTTAAGCAATGTGGAGTCGGCAGGATTGGAGCCTTACTTTACAGCTTGACAGATGAAACACAAGAATGAATATTAGCCCGTTCATACTCACGTTAGCTCTGCACTGCTAATGGGAACAACTTGAAATAAGAATGTACTGTTGTCCCTAAAAGCAAACAAAGATGACTCTGACTACATACCAGGAAAACCCCCACTGGGTGAAAAGGTGACATTATTACATAGTTGCAATTTACATACCCAGCTGACAGCAGAGTAGATCCACACTATAAGACATCTGAGGCTGCTTCACCAGTTTGGGATGTCAAGCTAGCACTGTTTTAAAAAAAATCAGCAAATACATCCCTTACAAAGCCCTATCATCCCAGAAAATAAATGTATATGAAAAGGTTCCAAGAATGCATAACTGCAGCTGCATGCTTGGCTATACAGTATTTTACAGCTCTAACTAAACATTTGCGTTTCTCTTCTCCTGCATGCTAACCATCAGACTTCTGGTCAGTTCAGGGAAAAATAAATTCCTATTTCTAAAGAGAGAGAGTTAACTAAACTTGACCAGCTGCAAAGAATCAACAACATCAAAAGATATGAAAATCCAGAATTGGTTACAACCAGATACAAGACATTACTGTTTCTCCCTAGATTCCCTCCTTGACATTTAAAATGTTATATTATTATTATCTATATAGTTTACTTGCTTTTTATAAATATCATTTTCACACTTAGTAAGGTTTATTCAGTCTGGAAGTTTTCAGGGTGAAATATGGACAAAGCTAAGATCTATCCTATGCAGAGATTTTCAGCAGTCCTGTGCTTCAATTCTTTGAGGACCACAGGCGAAAAACAGTATAAATGGAACCATCTGACAGGGGATTGTGAATGGCCAATGATGGCTAAGCTATGCAAGAGTAGTGCCAGACTGGCCTGAGATTAAGTTACAGTGTGGAATGACCTCACTCGTTACACAGACTTCAGCTCTTCTTTAGGTCTGGCAATGAAATTAGTCAGGATTTTTACTGTGCCTATGTCTAAAACCTCTTGCTGTGCAACGCTTCATAATTCATCAAATTGTTGAGCCCAATATTTAGACTCTTATGCGCTATTTGTGAACCTAATTATACTACATTGAATGCGTTCTATAGGCAGGGGCCAAAAATGTTTATAAAAGCGATGATAAAAATCAGACAAAGCTGCCTGAGGCCATCTGTTGTGTTATGTTTGACAAGCAGCAAGTGGGGAGTCATTATCTGAGGACTGAATAACTTCCCGGAGCAGGGAGAGATTTGGGTAAGTTCGTTTCTTTTATCTATACCTTTTCCTTGCCATTAAACAACCGTTTCCTATTATGGAGACAGACAAATGAACCAAATGAACCCAAAGTATCAAATATTACAGAAAGGAAGCAACTTATCTAATGTAATGTGTGTGTTGGGGGTGGCAGGTACTGGGAAGGATTCATGTTTAAATTTAACTACAGTTGATGGTTGAGTGGCTGAATAGCTGTCATAAACTGTCCACCCAAAGATTAAGATATCAGAGTCCAGCAGTTTTATTCTGTGTTTTGCTCCGCCTTCTGAGATTCACCCACATGATTTTAGATAACAAAGTTATGTTTAGTTAACCACATTATTCACAGACGTATTTATTGGTTTAGAGGGAGACAAGTTTGTAAGATGCATATTATATCAAGCCATTGAAGAAGAAAGCCTGCCAGCTAGCGCTGGTATCTGAAAGAATACTTAGTGAGTTACATAACTAGAGTTCACTTTTCAGGTTTATATGAAAAGCAGAAGGAGAACACATTTGCATTGGCCTCAGAGGAAGAAGTTGGCAGAGCACTAAATACTCTTAGTGAAATAAAACAGTTGGGGGGAAACACATGTCCTGCAATTCCTTTGCTTATGATAGCAAGTATAATTTTCAGTGGTCTTGTGAGACTAAAAACTGCTCTGCTTTTTTTGGATCGAAATGAATTGATTCAACTGTAAATTAGCAACAGATGACATGGGAATGTTTGCTCCAATATTTACAGTTTTAGGCCATGCTTTTATTCTCCAAAAAATATGAGAGCACAACACAGTTGAAAAAACTATACTCCACACCTGTGACAACCTGGAGTTATATGTTACAGATTGCTAATACCATCACTAGAAGACTTTCATCCACGGCAAAGAGATCCCAGCTCAGCAAAGTACTTATGTGCATGCTTGAAGCTAAGCAACCCTTACATCCTTTGCTGAATAGAGATAGATTTAAGCACATGCTTAAATGTTTTTTCTGAATCAGGGCCTAAATCCAAGAATGATAACCAAAGGGTAATTCTGAAGCACAGATGGACTTCCTCTTACAGGAGATCATACATGTTTAAAAAGTACGACTGGACTGATTTCACATAGAAGGCAGCTGTTGTAAATGACATATAGCGACTGTAAATTTCTGTTCTGGTTGAGGAAAAAAGAGGCCACGTCCTATTTGCAGTCACTGTGCTTCAAATCCACAGGACCAAACTGCCATTTATATAAGTAGGCAGAACTCTGAGTTCAAAGAAACTGAATTTGCTTTAAAAAAGCATGTGGTCTGCTGACTGCAAGGGGTTGTGAAGGATACAGATATTTGCCTCAAATTGAGGCTTTCCCTAAAAAACAATTATCTAAGTCGGAGACAGGAAACTCTCTTGGCTTCTTGGGAAGGATTTGGATCCACTTCCGGGAGCAGGATCAGTGGCCTGGTGTAGACAAAGGGAGGCACGGAGATTAACAAAGCCATTGCCTGCCTTACTGCTGCTGAAATGCACCTGTAAATCAGGCTCAATAATTTAGAACTGGGTGGCAGGGCTTGCCCATCCCCCACCCCCCTGCTCACCCCATCTCACCCCTGAATTTTTGTTTCGTTGGGGGCTAGAAACAGAAATTACACATAAAACAGTATAAATGATTGGAAACTGGTTCAAATCTGTAACACAACAGAAGTTCAGTGCACATAAACTGCTTTTAAAATAGCTGAAACTGGTATAAGATAAACCTGGATGGATGTAGCATCAGACTTAACTGATTTAGGTTAAATCAGTTTACTGAACTTCTGTTCCAGATCCCTTCCAGATTTAAGTTAACTCAGTCTCCCAGCATCCCAGGATGCTTTGCACCTCCCTGGCACACCTCCCCTTGCAGGGTGGGCAGGCTAGCTTTGGCCCAAGCCGTCTGCTTCAGCTGAGCAGGGAGGCATGCTCTAGCACCCTCTGGCTTCTGGCCTGGACCACTTCAGGCATGTGGCTGCATTTCTGGAGTCAAAAGTGAATGTCTGTTCTCTTGCCTATCAGTTCAATCTATGCAGGTTAGATTAACCTGCAAAGATTGAATCAATTCAGCCTCAGGTTTTTTGAGTGTCTGCACTTAACCCAGAAGCCCAGTGGATTGAATGACGTGGGTCCATGGGCTAGATCTGGCTTGCTGGCCTTATCTTTGCCACCCCTGATCTAACCACTTATAAATTAGACCTACCGACATGGATATTTCTTCTCTCTCTTAAGTGTGCATATAAAGTGGAGCTATGAAATAAACCCTTGTAAACGGGGCACGAAATGGTAGTTTGCAACTACTCGGAGCCATCCCCCCAAGTCATAAACATTCTTAGAGATATTATTTTTCAAATAGAGATGTTATTTCTGCCTTCATTTTTGCAGTTAGTTTGTGACTCTCTTCTGGGCTTGAGTGCTGCTTTTTTATGAAAACTTCAGAAAAACAGAATCTATGTGTTTCCTTTTACACTTGAAAACACTGGCACAAAGCTAATAAAAAAGACAAGGAACTCATCTGATAAATATTTAATACTTGTACCTTGAGCCAAACTCTTCTGCTAGTGGCATGGGAACAAACCCCATTGTAACCCAAGAAATGAGAGCACAGTTTGAGCCCATTAGTTTTATGGGTTTTTTTTTTTAGGTTTATGTACTGAAAATGCCCTTGGACCAAAGCGAGAACCTTTGGGGGGCCACATTCTGATGGCAGTTCCTCGGCTGTAATCCCAGACAGGGCTAAATCTTGCAAGCCCATGCTAAAGCAAACATCCATTGACATTGCTGGCAGTTCACCTGAATAAGAACTGACGTAAAGTGACACCATTCTATAAACATCCCTGTCCTGCAAACATTGTAAAACAGAACTGCGCTCACTGACCCTCTGCTCTGGCAGACAGTCCGATCTGTCCTCATTTACCAGAAAAGGGTAGCCATGGCAGATGTTTTGCCTTCTACCCCAAAGCAATTTGAAATTTTATCTGTGCAAGGTCGTTAGATTTTGAGAGAAAAGCCTCTCATTGTCCAACAACCTCATATTGTCAAAGGAGAGTATCAAAGCAGGTAGCGATAATTTACTTCTACCAGCTGATCTATGGATGCGTATGCACCTTGTGCAGATGTCTGCTTCATTTTTTGTGAACAGAACTAGGGGAAATATGCACTATTGTATTCATTCAATAAAAAAGTTCCTTTTTTCTGTTCATGAAATACGAAAACGGACTGATCTTTTCACATTTATCTGTGGTTAGTGGTTGTTTGTCACAGTGGTTATGTGCATGAATTTGAGGCTATCAACGGTGCACAAATGGTATGCTTGGGCCATGCCTGCCTGTTATTCATTGGGTGCAATTAGTCATCTATGGCCATACATTATTTCTGCTCCCTGATGGGATTGTTAAAGCTTAAACTAGGCTCCCCCAAACATTTTTGTTCACATGTGAAATGGTTCTCACTGCTGCTCAGCAATCACTTGAAGCCAAGGAATCTGAGAGCCCTGCTTCATTCAGTGTCCAAGTTCTAAGTAACTAGCATTTCTTAATACGAGTCTCTGCATAAGTAAATTACTGGTCCAGCAAGCTCACTGTACAGTTTCTTAAAATAGCGGGTTCCCCATATATGCCTTTCCTAGACAAACATAACAACAACTAACAAACAAACAATGATAACAATTTTTAGAAAACCTAACAGAACCTGTTATCTAACCTAAGCTAACAATGGTTGCTTAGTTTCTGAGGCACCCTGGACTGTCACAAGGACCCATGGGCTTCATGAGACATCACTGCAGGCAGTGGTAACTTCACTAGTTCGGGTGCGCCGTGGCTGTGGCTCAGCCATCTCAGCCTGCTGGCATAGTACCTGTCAGAGAACTTCTTAGGCAAAATAGTCAACTTGGCACTCCTTATCTTTGTCCCTCTGAGACTTGGAGAACGGGTCATCTCCATGGTTTTTGTTTGCCTGGGAATTCAAACTCACCTGATCACCTGTCATCTTCTGATACCAGTGTGGCTTGTGACTACTGTTCCCAATCATGGAAATGCAGAGTGCTACTTTCATGAAGGGGCAGCAGCACCTGGGACCCCAAATCATACTGAGGGTTTATTTTGACTCACTGTCTCTTCATATGTCCATGAATCCCCAGCAACTCCAACAGTTGCTAATGACTCAGGATTTCTTTTATTCAGTTTTCTGTTGAAGAAATGTCAGTAGGTGACAACCCAGCCTTTTACTTTTTGTTTTACAATGCTAAATAAAGATGTGGAGTTAGAGTCTGATCTGTAAGTAGGTGATTAATTATTCCAATACAGTCTTCCACCAGCCCATTAGATTGGGGATAATGAGGACTAATACTAGTAAGTCTCTGAAATCTGTTCAGATTCATGTTCTTTATGTCAGGAGTACCATATCCAGCAAAAACCAGATATGATATGCACAATCACCTGTTGAGCTGTAGTATCTGCTCACATCTCGTTATCTTGCAAATCAAAAATAGGCTACTGGCATCCTGGGCTGCACTGGGAGGAGCGCTGGCAGCAAATCGAGGGCAGCGATTCTATTCTGCACTGGGGAGGCCACATCTGGAGTCCTGTGTCCAGTTGTGGGCCCCCCACTACAGAAAGGATGTGGTGACATTGGAGAGAGTCTAGCAGAGGGCAACAAAAATGGTTTGGGGGTTGGGGGTCATGACTGGGGAGGGGAGGCTGAGGGAACTGGGCTGATTTAGTCCAGAGAAGAGAAGTCCCCCCCACCCCACCCCTTTTCTCCCCCACCCCACCACAGTGGTCATAAGCTGATGGAGAATAGGTTTAGGTTAGGTTAGAGATCAGAAGGCAATATTTTACAGTTAGGGTGGCCAAAATCTGGAAACAACTTCCCAGGGAAGTGATCCTTGCCCCTACCTTGGGCAAATTCAAGAGGAGGTTGGATGATCACCTGTCTGGGGTCTTGTGAACCCAGCATTCATTCCTGCCTGTGGCAGGGAGTCAGGCTAGATGAT